CCAATCAATCATATATCCAGCAGAAATTCCAGCATTGTTCACGAGTGCATGTAAAACTTTTGTTTTCTGATTGACTAATTCAAACGCGGCATCAATATCATCTTGGTTAGTGATATCAAGTTGGAAAACAATTGCTTTGGATGAAAGTTTATTTTTTAATGAAATAATATTATCTTGAAGATAAACACCAGCAAAGACAGTGAAACCTTGTTTATCGAGTTCAATAGCTAATCCATGACCAAAACCAGTATCACATCCTGAAATCAAGACGTATTTACCACGTGCGTCGATGTTTGGAGTTGGAAAAAAATGTTGATATATTCGATATCCTATGTAAAGTACTACTGCAATACCAATAATAAAACACATCGCCATGCTTGCAAAAGGACACCTATAATAAAAATAAAAGTAGCGTTATTTTTTCTTTACTGAGGTGACGTAGTTTGAAAAAATAAATACAACGTCAGTTTGATAGCGAAATAAGCAAGAATAATAAAATACTTGAATATATATAGAGTCTCGAATGCGTGTTTTATTCTGTTCTTTGTTACGTGTGCACATTATCAGAGATATCATATATTGTGCAATACTTTGTCATACTTTGAGTTTTGTGATATACCCTTTTTTTAAAGATTATTTTATCTCTTGTGACGTTTCGGTAGCTCGATACCTCTTTCGTCAGACTTTCTATTTTAAAAATCGAAAAAATTAGAACTTTTATATATATATATGTTCTATCTTCGATTTTTAAAATAAAAAAAGGTTGACGAAGGTCGCAAGAAATATATTAATCTTCAAAGGAAGAGTATATTAAAAAACTCAATTAATGTCCTTTCTTAATAAACTACAAGGAAATATATAATCACTCTTACACGAAGTAATTAAACTTATTGTAATATGTGAAAATCTTTTATAAAGTTGCTCATAATATGTATCAACTACAACTATCTCAAAACTGCAAAGAATGAAGTAAGATATAGGTAAAGATGAGGGAGAATATTACTTTCGTCAATTATTAATGATGACATTTACATATAAATTGATACAATTAATTAGATAAATCACATGACAGAAATTGAAAAGAATATAGTATTCGTCGACTGATTTCTTATTCATACAAATAAATACTATTAAAACTTTAAAATTGTAATTTGATAGATTTACAACTTCTCCTTTTCAAATATCGTTATTCTAAGATGAACAAAAATTTGTTTAATATGTAAAATCAGAATGATATTGATAACTAAGAATACATGAGTATTATAGAAACAAGTTATTATAAATGATTATGAGCTTATTAGCATAGTAATCATAGAGGATATTATATTATGTAATAGTGTGCATGTTAGATAGTGCTTAAATTTAGTTACTTTCGAATTACGTGTATATTAAAATATATGAACTGACAATTGTCAAATGAAATCTGTAACAGGAAGTTTTCACACTTTATGAAGAGTCAATATATTTCTGAACCATGAAAAATTTTTTTTTGTTTTACAAAAAATAATTATATGGTTATTTATTTAAATAAGTTTGTTTCAATCTTTCAATTGTTAGTTGACACGTGCTAGAACATGAGTTGATTACATTAATTTTCGAAGAATAGAATCAGCAATCCAAGCTGGCAATATTGAAATTGGTAAAAAGATAAGAGGTGATTGCATTCCTGGACGATAGCGAATAAAAGGTTTACTGTTCATAACAGCATTTTGAATTACTTGAACAACTTTAAGTGGATCATCTGCAAGTTTTGTTAATTGATTTTGTTCCATTTTATCATGCCATCCTTTAAGATATTCTTCTCCCCATCGTTCTTTGACATCATTTGAAAGTGAAGTTAGAAACTCAGGATAAGGTTTAACAAGTCTTTCAATAAGTGGTGTACGCATAAATCCTGGTTCGATTATACTAACTTTTAAACCCCAATGAAACATTTCACGTCGAAGACAATCACTGAATGATTCTAATGCATATTTAGATGCGGAGTATGATGACATACCTGCTACAGCAAGAAAACCAGCAGCTGAACAAACATTAATCACCCGCGAATCCCGTTTAGCAATAAGTAATGGTAAAAACTTTTTTGTCATTGCAACATGTCCAAAATAATTCACATTCATTACTTTACGCATCGTTTCTATCGAAGTCCAATCAATGAAATGTCCATCAATTATTCCGGCGTTGTTCACGAGTGCATGTAAAACCTTTGTTTTTCCATTGACTAATTCAAAAGCAGCATCAATATCATTTTGATTAGTGATATCAAGTTGAAAAACAGTTGCTTTGGATGAAAGTTGATTTTGTAATGAAATGATATTATCTTGAAGATAAACACCGGCAAAGACATTGAAACCTTGTTTATCGAGTTCAATAGCTAATCCATGACCAAAACCAGTATCACATCCTGAAATCAAGACGTATTTGCCACGTGGATCGATATCTGGAGTTGGAAAAAAATGTTGATATATTCGATATCCTATGTAAAGTACTACTGCAATACCAATAATAAAACACATCGCCATGCTTGCAAAAGGACACCTATAATAAAAATAAAAGCACCGTTATTTTTGCTTTACTAGGGCGACGTGGTTTTAAAAAATAAATACAACGTCAATTTGGTAGCGCAATAACTAACAATGATAAAATACTTGACTATATATATATATATACGGGGTATGCTTTAAAAAGACCGAAAGAAAAAAATGTCAACGCAATAAATGTCGAAATGTAAATATCGAGAAAAACATGTCGAGGGAAAAATATCGAAAACAAATACCGAAAGAAAAAATGTCGACGCAACAAACGTCGAAATATAAATGTCAAGAAAAAAAGGTCGAGGGAAAAAATTTCGAATTAAAAAAAGAGTCGAAAGAATAAGGTTTAGAGTTTTTTGTCGGAGGAAAAATTTGAGGATGTAAGTAAGGGTGTGGGTGTGGATGACAGAAGAATACAACATCCACACCCACTCACACACTTGTTCTCTCAGTTTCTCGTCGTTCTAGAAAGTTTGTTTACACAATTATTTATTGGATCAAATGATTTATTAATCTGTGAAAGTTCAATGAATAATATTAAGACAAGAAAATCAATAGTTTGATGAACATCTAAAACTTTTCGACACTTTTTTTTCGACCAAAATGACTCTGACATTTATTTCTCTACCTTTTTCGCATGTACTTTTTTTCTTTTGGGTGTTTTTACAGTCGATCGCAACACTTTATCGTACTTTGATCGACTCACAGAGGTATCAAAGATATATATGTATCACAAAGATAAAATATCTACAGCGATACTTGATTATTCATAGTATTTAGTATGATTGAAGGAACTTGGATAGATGATTTTTGTACATTATCGATTAATGTAAGTGACTTATAAAAAAATGATGAGAAATAAAATACAGACAAGAGCATTTGCTCATTCGCTTCATTTTTAAATTAATTCGAACATTACTAATAAACTTATAATCATATTGTATGTGTAGATTTAATGATTTTTATATTATTCAAGAAAAATATTCGTTGTTTTATTACTATGAATGATAAAAATAAATATCTTATGATCTATTCCATAGAACATATTTGTATATATTAACTTGAAATGACAGTTAGCAAAAATATTTTTCTAATCACATATAATTTAATTTTTAGTTCAAACGTTTTTTTCGTACATCGGCAGGAATAAAATGTAAAGCTTTAGCTAGAATTTTATCGATTAACCACACAGGAGGTATATAGAATACAATAAAAATAACTTTAGCTTGCCATCCTGGTCGATAACGAATAGAAGGATTTACATTCATTACAGCATGTTGAATTACTCGTACTACTTTAAGTGGATCATCCGCATATTTAATAAAAGGACTATTAATCGACTGAGTAATTATATCATTTAAAAAGTTAATTCCCCATCGTTGTTGAATATCAGATGAAAGTTCATTCCATAAAATACGTAAATTAGATTCATAACCATCAGTCATAGACGTTCGTAAAGTACCAGGTTCAATAATACTAACATGTAAATTCCATGGAGACATTTCACGTCGAAGACAATCAGAAAATGCTTCAAGTGCATGTTTAGAAGATGAATAAGCTGATGTATTTGGAAAAGCAAAGAAACCAGTTGCTGAACACATGTTCACAACACGACAATAACGTTTAGTTATAAGCATAGGTAAAAATGTTTTTGTCATCATAACATGTCCAAAATAATTAACATCCATTATTCTGCGCATCATTTCCATAGAAGTCCAATCAATACAACCATGTGTTATAATTCCAGCATTGTTTACGAGTGCATGAAGTGTATTAGTTTTCTTTTGTACTAATTCATATGTAGCATCGATATCTTCTTGTTTAGTAATATCAAGATGAAAAACTGTAGCTCTTGATGAAAGTTTACTTTCTAATGAAATTATATTCTTCGATACATATACACCTGCTAGAATATTGAATCCTTGTTTATCGAGTTCAACAGCTAATGCATGACCTACACCTGTATCACATCCAGAAATCAACACATATTTACCATTGGGATTAATTTTAAGTGATAAAAAAATATATTGGTATAAACGATAGATAATATAAAATAAGATACTCAGAATAATAAATAAAAACATCATAATTTATTATAAAAGCATATAAACGAAAGAAATAAAATATTCTTCGTATCTTTTTTTTCTACTTACATCAAATAGATGCATATATATATCAGAAGGAATATTTTTGTTTTCTTCGTTGCTTTTCTACACGTGGAATTGTGAAGAAATAATATAAGACACAGAAAAGAAAAGAAAAACTTACATCAGTATAGTGCCGACATGATGTTTATGAAGCTATAAGAATACATAACAACTACCAACAAGCATAAAAGCTTTCATACAGAAAATGAACGATTTAAGAATAAATAAAACCATGATATAGATATTTATCAATGAATTAAATTAACTCCTTACACATTGAAAAGGTCATATCAAAATTTCAACAATAAGAAAAATGATACTAGTCCGTGAGTTGCTTATGCACAGCATCAGGAATTAAAGTTGGTCCCATAGTCAAAAAACTATCCATTATATCGCTCGGAAATAACTGAGAGACAAGAAAAAACATTTTTGATTGCCATCCTGGACGATATCGAATAAAAGGTTTCGTGTTCGATACAGCATGTTGTGTTGCTTGTATGACTATATCTGGATTCTCTGCACTGATCACTATTCCACTATTGATTGATTGTAAAATTGTATTATTCAAAAAGTAATCTCCATAACGTTGTTGATTACCAGTTGAAAGATGATTCCATGAATTTCGTATTTTTTTTTCTATATCATCAATAAAAGATGTTCGCATCGGACCTCCTTCAATAAGACAAACATGTAGACCCCAAGAAGCCATTTCACGTCGAAGACAATCACTAAATGATTCTAATGCATATTTTGATGCACAATAAGCAGAAGAACCTGGAAGACTAATATAACCACACATTGAACCCATATTTATAACACGAGAATCACGTTTAGCAATAAGTAATGAAAGAAACATTTTTGTCATTGCAACATGTCCAAAAAAGTTCACATTCATTACTTTACGCATTGTATCTATGGAAGTCCAATCAATAAAATATCCATCATTTATTCCAGCATTGTTAATAAGTGCATGTAGAACTTTGGTTTTTTTTAGTGACTATATCGAAAGCAGTATCAATACTATTCTGATTAGTAATATCAAGATGAAAAACAGTTGCATTGAATGAAAGTTTATTATGTAACGAACGAATATTATCTCGAGAATAAACACCAGCAAGAATAGTAAAACCTTGTTTATCGAGTTCAATAGCTAATTGATAACCAAAACCAGTATCGCATCCCGAGATTAAAACATATTTACCATGTGAATCGATATTTGGAGTTGAAAGTGTACTTCGATATATTCGATAACTCACATAGGAAATAATTGCTATGATAATAAGTAGAAACATGATAGTTTATTTATGAATATATTTCTTTGAGATATGTGAACACGTGTAAAAGAAAAAATAGGCAGGACGATACAGCGTACGATTATTTTTATATTCTATTGTCATATTTTTTTTTATTTCTGTATGTGCATTCATCCTTGACTACTCTTTTTTCGTTTTATGAAGGATAATCAGATATGATTATGTAAGAAAGAAAGACTAAAATATACATTCTTTTAAATTATAGATTACGAAAGTAAAAAAAAGGATAATATTTTCCATTTAAAACTATTTGATTAGTTTGTAATCTGGTTATTAATACCAGCAGGAAGAATAGATGAGCCAACTAGTTTAGACATAAGAATATCCAGTAACCAATCTGGAAACATAGACAATGGATAAAATAAGAATTTTGATTGTAAATCTGGACGATATCGAATACGAGGTTTACTGCTAATAACTGCATGTTGTAGTGCTCGTATTACTTTCATCGGATCTTCAGCATTTCTAATGCATATATTTTCTGTTATTGATTTTTTAATTAAATCATTCAAAAATTCATCACCCCATCTTTTGCGTATATCTATTGGTTGTTCATCCCATAAATCTCGTACTAAACGTTCGTGACCTTCAATAATCGGTGTTCGAAGCCAGCCAGGTTCAATAATGCAAACTTTTAAACCCCAAGCAAACATTTCACGTCGCAGGCAATCACTAAATGATTCAAATGCATATTTTGATGCACAGTATGATGACATTCCTGGTGGACTTGTATATCCCATTACTGAACAAATATTAATGACACGTGAATCACGTTTAGCAATCAGTAATGGAAGAAACGTTTTCGTCATAGTAACATGTCCAAAATAATTTACATCCATTATTTTACGCATCGTTTGCATTGAGATCCAATCAATATATCCTCCTGAACCAATACCAGCATTATTAACAAGTGCATGTAGAACTTTTGTCTTTTTATTGACTAATTCAAAAGCAGTATCAATA